TCAATGTTCATGGTTAGGAAGAATCAATATTGTGAAAATGGCCATACTGCCCAAAGTAATTTATAGATTCAATGCTATCCCCATCAAGCTACCTATGACCCTCTTCACAGAACTGGAAAAAAACACCTTAAACTTCATATGGAACCAAAATAGAGCCCGCATAGCAAGTCAATTCTAAGCAAAAGAACAAAGCTGGAGGCATCAACACTACCTGACTTCAAATTATACTACAAGGCTATAGTAATCAAAACAGTATTGTACTGATACCAAATCAGATGTAGACCAATGGAACAGAACAGAGGCCTCGGAGACAATGCCACACATCTACAACTATTTGATCTCTGACAAACCTGACAAAAACAAGCAATGGGGAAAGGATTTCCTATTTAATAAATGGTGTTGGGAAAACTGGCTAGCCATAGACAAAAGCTGAAACTGGATCCCTTCCTTACACCTTGTATAAAAATTAACTCCAGATGAATTGAAGATTTAAACATAAGACCTAACACCATAAAAACCATTGGAAAAAAAAACAAATGGAAATACCATTCAGGACATAGGCACGGGTAAGGACTTCATGACTAAAACACCAAAAGCAATGACAACAAAAACCAAAATAGACAAATGGGATCCAACTAAACTTAAGAGCTTGTGCACAGCAAAAGAAACTAGCACTAGAGTGAATCAGCAACCAAGAGAAAGGGAAAAAAATGTTTGCAATCTACCCATCTCACAAAGGACTAATCTCCAGAATCTACAAAGAACTTAACAAATTTACAGGAAAAAAACAAACAACCCCATTAAAAAGTGGGCAAAGGATATGAACAGACACTTTTCAAAAGAAGACATTTATGCAGCCAACAAACATATGAAAAAAGGCTCATCATTACTGGTCGTTAGAGAAATGCAAATCAAGACCACAATGAGATACTATCTCAGGCCAGTTAGAATGATGATCATTAAAAAATCAAGAGACAACAGATGCTGGAGAGGATGTGGAGAAATAGAAATGCTTTTATACTGTTGGTGGGAGTGTAAATTAGTTCAACCATTGTGAAAGAAAGTGTGGTGATTTCTCAAGGATCTAAAAATAGAAATTCCATTTGACCCAGCAATCCCATTACTGGGTATATACCCAAAGGATTATAAGTCATTCTATTATAAAGACACATGCACATGTATATTTATTGTGGCATTGTTCACAATAGCAAAGACTTGGAACCAACCCAAATGCCCATCAATAATAGACTGGATAAAGAAAATGTGGTACATACACACCATGGAAAACTATGCAGCCATAAAAAGGATGAGTTCAGGTCCTTTGCAGAGGACATGATGAAGCTGGAAAACATTATTCTCAGCAAACTGATATAAGAATAGAAAACAAAACACTGCATGTTCTCACTCATAGGTGGGTGTTGAACAACAAGAACACATAGACACAGGGAGGGGAACATCACACACTGGGTTCAGTTAGAGGGTGAAGGGCTAGGGAAGGGATAGCAGGGTGTTGGGGGATTGGGGAGGGATAGCATTAGGAGAAATACCTAATGTAGATGATGGGGTGATGGATGCAGCAAACCACCATGGTACGTGTATACCTATGTAACAAACGTGCACATTTTGCACATGTATCCCAGAACTTAAAAGTATACTAAATACCTTTTTTGAAAATTGGAGTGGGGCAGGGTCTCTCTATGTTGCCCAGGCTAGACACTTCAGCTGAAGCGCGGTGGTGCAATCTTGGCTCCCTGCAGGTTCAAGTGATTCTCATGCCTCAGCCTCCTGAGTATCTGGGGTACAAGCGCCTGCCACCATGCCTAGCTAATTTTTGTATTTTTAGTAGAGATGGGGTTTCGCCATGTTGGCCAGGCTAGTCTCAAACTCCTGGCCCTCAAGCAATCCATGCGCCTCAGCCTCCCAAAGTGCTGGGATTATAGGCATGAGCCACAGTGCTCGACCTAAAGATCCTCATATTTTTATTAATCTCTCAATATTCTCTGTTCATTAATTTTGGTGTGTGTTTACTAGGTATTTTACCAATTTTTGTAAAATTAAAATAAGGTGAACCTATCGTAATTTTTTTTGGCTTGGACTGGAAACCTTCGAGGTTTAACATTTGCTTATTCAAGGGTTTTTTGTTTTTCTTTCTTTGATAAAAGCTATTAATTGTAATGCAGTTAGATTCTTTTTCTGTTGTTTTTTTTTTAATTTTTCTTTTCTTTTTTTCTTTTTTCTTTAAATTATAACACCCTTCTACAATTAGAATAATGTGGTCAGATTTATTGGTTTTTCTGAGTTTGTGCTTTTTGTGTCTTGTTTTAAAAATCCTTTTCTACTCCAAGACCTATAAGATATTCACCTACATTTCCTAATAAATTAAAGCCTTATTGTTGACTTATTTAAGGTTTTTTTTCTGTATAGAGTGACTTAAGAATACAATATTTTTCTTTTCGTATGTATAATCATTTTTCCCAACTTCATTTACTGAATAGTCACCAATCTTTCCCCACCAATCTGATATATTACCTTTGTCACATACCAAAGTTTCATACATCGATTATTATTACCATTATTATTATTTTTGAGACAGGATCTCATTCTGTTGCCCAACCCAGGCTGGAGTATAGTGGCACAATCATGGTTCACTACAGCCTCAACCTTCTAGGCTCAAGTGATCCTCCAGCCTCAGCTTCCTGATTAGGTGGGACTAAATGAGTGCTACAACACCTGGATAACTTTTTTTATTATTTATTTATTTATTTATTTTTATACTGAGTCTCGCTTTGTTGCCCAGGCTGGAGTGCAATGGTGCAATCCAGCCTCACTGCAACCTCCGCCTCCTGGGTTCAAGCAATTCTCCTGCTTGAGACTATAGGTGCACACCACCACACCTGGCTAATTTTTGTATTTTTAGTAGAGATAGGGTTTCACCATATTGGTCATACAATATTGGCATGAGCCAATGCACCCAGCCTACACCCGGCTAATTAAAAAAAATTTTTTTGTCGAGATGGCATTTCACTATGTTGCCCAGGCTGATCTTCAACTCCAGGTCTCAGGAGATCTTTGTGTGTCAGCCTCCTGAAGTGCTAGGATTAATAGGCGTGAGCCACACTGCACCTGGCTGTCTTTGAAGATTTTAATAAGATGGCCATGTCTCTGCCAAGACTGATCAAACAAGAACACAAACACAAATTGAAAGAGAGGGAAAAATTGTATTATGGAACTGGGTTAAGTACCTTAAGGGAAAACTGCAATAATGGGACCACTATTCCTATCTACTGGGATGGCGGAAGGCACAGACAGATGTAAACAACAATATAGTGTGCCAAAGTCTCCCTCTCCTGTTCTCTTCTGCTCTGCAAAGTCTCTCTTAAAATATAGAGACTATATTGCAAGTAAATACATTCATTAGTGCATTTATTCAAAAACCACATTTATCTCTCCATGCCAGCTTCCATCTCAATGCCTGGCACAGAGACGAAAAAGATTTCAGAAGACAAAAATCAAAGGACTGGAAAGGAGGGAAGCAGCTATTTGAGAGTGAGCAGAGGGAAGGCTATAACCAGAGCCTTCCATCTGGTGTTGTGACAAAGATGGCAGTGATGTGAAGCTTGATAGAATTAAAAAGCCTCACAGTGGCCGGGTGCGGTGGCTCAAGCCTGTAATCCCAGCACTTTGGGAGGCCGAGATGGGTGGATCACGAGGTCAAGAGATCGAGACCATCCTGGTCAACATGGTGAAACCCCGTCTCTACTAAAAAAAAAAAAAAAAAATACAAAAAATTAGCTGGGCATGGTGGCGTGTGCCTGTAATCCCAGCTACTCGGGAGGCTGAGGCAGGAGAATTGCCTGAACCCAGGAGGCGGAGGTTGCAGTGAGCCGAGATCGCACCATTGCACTCCAGCCTGGGTAACAAGAGCGAAACTGTGTCGCAAAAAAAAAAAAAAAAAAAAGCCTCACAGTTCAAGACTGACTATATGCCCTCAGTCACTTGCCTGCTTTCTTGCTTTGCTACACGGATTAGAAATCCTAGAAGGAAACTTGAGTGGGTACTGGGATACTCTATCCCAATCCTCTCTTCTGGGGCAATGTAGCTGCCTCACGGCTCCTTTCCTCGCTGGATGTCACCTTCAGCTTCAGGAAAGTGCTTCACCCATGGTCAGCGTGCCAAGAAGTGGCTGATGTGGGAGCACAAAGGCAGAGCTTCCTTGCTTGTTTGAGACAACTAATTCCAGAGCTCCCTGTTGGAACAGCTGAGGCCGCTGCAACCACGTTGTGCATCACCTGACCCTGCCTTTCTCATCTCCCTGGAGGAGCATTTTAAGAGCACTCCCCATAAACCAACACTCAAGCCTCTCTGAGGTGTTTCCAGGGAACCTAATCTAATATTAAAAATTTAAAGGCCTCTTTTAGCATTCTCGCTTATAGTCCAGGCAAAGAGTTCTTTACTTTTTTAGAGGTCATGAATTCCTTTGACAAGGTGATGAAAGCCAGGGATCCTCTTCTCAGAAAAATACACACACGCACTTAATGTAAAATTTTACGTACTATTTTAAAGGTTAAACTTTACCACCCATGAAAAGCCTCAAGTCGCTCTTTGTACATAATCATAAGATTAGCCACCATTTACTGAGCACTTCCTCTCTATAAGACCCTGTGCTAAGTGCTTTACCTTCAAAATGACTTTGATCCTGACATAACACGGCAGGGTAGTTCCTAATATCTTCCTTTTAGAGATTTAAGGGCTTGCTCAAAGTAGCACGGCTAATAATTAGCAGACACTGGACTAAAATCCCAATTTGTTTGTAAAGCTTGTGCTCTGAATATATGACAAGGAAAGAGAAGAGAAAGTTAAAGAAGGGAAGGTCCTCAAAGGTCTCTTAACGATAAATGTCAAGAGCTTGGATTTAAACTCCCGGGTCTAACCGCAAAGCTGGCACCCTTGAGATTAAACGTGTAGCGTCCATGACAACGAAGAAGTTGATTGTGTCCCACCTCTGTCCTTCGCAGCTTGTCCTTTGCGTTTGTTTCTACAGCGATTTCCAATAGATTTCTGCGTGGCCTTGATGTAGACAGCTAGTGTGCAGCCCAGCCCACAGAGGGGCGGCACGATGGTTGCCTGCATCTCCGCCCACGGAGGAGAGGTGCATCGCCTTCCGTACAACATGGATGCGCTCTCTCCACCACTCCGCTGGTTCTGACGCAACTTCCTGTCCTGCGCAATTCTATTTGACCTTTGAACTCGCAAAGGCTTTCTTCTTCCTCTTCCGGGGACGTTGTGTGCAGGTATGGTCGGTGTTCTGTTTTCCCTGTCTTTATTTCCTTCACAATCGGCTGCCATCCGAGGAGCTGAGGAAGCCTAGAGCTCTCAGGAGCAGTCTTTAGAGCTGGCATAGGGGCAAGCGCCATACGAGGGAGGTAGGTGGTGAGGAAATTTCTTTCTTTGATCTTCGGAAATGCCTTCTTCCTGGAGGCCTCTCCAAAGCCGTGAGTAGCCAGAGCTCGCCACTCGGGACTTTGCTGCCTTCCAAGTGCAGCGTTTGGAGACAAACGAGTTGTGGTCCGGCGGTTTGAGACTGGGAAATCGCCGAACGTTTTCAGATTTTACAACCACGTTTTCACAGCACGCCTGTACATGTTCTCAGTCTTCGGGAGGGCAGGGACCGGCAAGTTCGGATGGAGGTTTCGCTATTTGGCTTCTGTTTCCAAGGCTCATGTCAAGGAAGAGAAAAATGTGTTAGATGTTTCCATTGTGCTTTTGGAGATGCAAACAGAATAGTGGCTTCATAAATCACTCGTACTGGCCTTACGTGTCAAGTTTTGGTCTCTGGTAGTTTTGTTTTAGTTTAATTTTAGTAAGAGGCTTGTGACAACAAATGTAGGCTGTTTTCGTTTCAGTAACAATATTGTTATGGTATGAAGTGGGAAGATTTTAGTTCAAGTATTGATTATGTTTTACTTTGGTTAGTTCACTTGACGAAGTTGCTCACATGCATATCTGTTACCTATTTGCTAAATAACCTCAAGTTGTTCCAGTTGCTAAGTGGGAAGAAAGCAAGTGCCATTACCCAAAGACACTTCTGTAATGTCAAAATTAGTATTAAAGGGTATGCCTTTACTCAGGTGGTGCTTTGGGGCAAGACACTGAACCCTGAAAATGTGCCTAGCATTGTGTTGGGAGGGATAACTCACATTTGATCCTAATGACAGCTCTATAAAGTAAGCAGAAATCCCTTTTCAGAGAGATGGAGGCTGGCTCCTTGTCCTGTGTATTCCCAATAAATGGCATAGCTAAGGATTCGACTTCAGAGCTCACTTGTGCTCTTTGTTTAAAGCAGTGTTTCTCCAGCTGGCCTCCTAGCACTTTTCTGGACACCACTCCAAACAAAATGAGACTGAGAGAAAGGAGCCTGGTGCTCAGAATGTTAAGTGCCACATTTGATTACCATCAGGAAAGCTAACATTTTTGGCCTCTTGTTTATCAGTCACCTTTAAATACAAGTAGTTTTAAAATGTGGAATCTTACGTAAATAAGACATCTTAATAGATGGGTGTTACAAGCTGGGTGCGGTGGCTCACACCTGTAATCCCAGTGCTTTGGGAGGCTGAGGTGGGTGGATCACCTGAGGTCTGGAGTTCCAGACCAGCCTAACCAACTTGGAGAAATCCCGTCTCTACTAAAAATACAAAATGAGCCGGTCGAGGTGGCACATGCCTGTAATCCTAGCTACCAGAGAGGCTGATGCAGGAGAATCACTTGAACCCAGGAGGCGGAGGTTGTGATGAACTGAGATTGCGCCATTGCACTCCAGTCGTGGTAACAAGAGCTCCGTCTCAAAAATATATGTATATGGGTGTTGCATACAGGAATATATATGTGGATGAAATAGACCATGTGATGCTGTTTTGAGATACTGTTTTTACAATGGAAATACTGGATGTTATTCTATTCTTAATTTAGGCACTCAGAATGGTCCAGCGTTTGACATACCGACGTAGGCTTTCCTACAATACTGCCTCTAACAAAACTAGACTGTAAGTGTTTCTAAAAATTTTAAGTATATATTGACATTTACTCTACGAAATGCTGACCTACTGACTGTTTGACTTTCTAGGTCCCGGACCCCTGGTAATAGAATTGTATACCTTTATACCAAGAAGGTTGGGAAAGCACCAAAATCAGCATGTGGTGTATGCCCAGGCAGGCTTCGAGGAGTAAGTGTAACTTTTACTGTCAGCAGCCTAACAAGGCTTGAACTTGTTGAGATTTCATCCTTTGATAATGGAATGAGTCAAGGAGCGGTTACCACTAAGAGGGTTGGGAATCACCAAACATCCGTGATCCAATATCTGCCAAGAATGTAGACTTTTAAAACAATCTGAGAAATGTAGTGAAATGCCTTTCAGATAAATCAGTACACTGTTTCCCTTTGTAACCTGCTTTAAACTTGCCTTTAACACTTAACAAAATGTAGGAAAATTTCTGTTAAAGCATGACAAAATAATCTTAGTGTTTTTATTATGTAGGTTCGTGCTGTACGACCTAAAGTTCTTATGAGATTGTCCAAAACAAAGAAACATGTCAGCAGGGCCTATGGTGGTTCCATGTGTGCTAAATGTGTTCGTGACAGGTACGTTAAATGCTTAAATGGGCTTTCTTCAGCAAATTTGTGGGTTTGTGTGTTATACTGTCTGCTAATCAGTAGAAGATTGGTGAAATGACTCATTTTAAACCAGTTGCATACTTTAGAATCCTTCCTCAACTATGGATAATTGATGCTGCACAAAGCAGTAAATAATATTCAGAGTAACAATTTGAGGACATCTGTATGCTAGATGTAGAGGTTAAAAGGAACTTGGTTTTGTTGTGGAGGTGGGTGAGCAAATCTCTGTTAGTGCTTTGGACACAGATGGAGTGTGGAAGGTGTTAAAAGTATAGGAATGAAATAGTTGTGTGTGTGTGTTCTCATGTGCCTGAAGCATAGGGTTGCAGGAGATAATGGACAACAACACTAGAAAAGCCAGATTATGAGAGGCTTTACAGAATGAAAAGTAGATTGACTTTTTTTTTTTTTTTTTTTTTTTTTTTTTTTTTTTTTTTTTTTTTTTTTTTTTGACGGAGTCTTGCTCTGTCGCCCAGGCTGGAGTGCAGTAGCTTGATCTTGGCTCACTGCAACCTCCTCCTGGGTTCAAGTGATTCTCCTGCCTCAGCCTCCCAAAGCATTGGGATTACAGGTGTGAGCCACCACAACTGGCCAGCTTAATTGTTTAGAATGTGAGAATTGATGGACTTTGAGCAGGACAGGAGAACCCTTTGGTGTGCCAGAAACAAACTGCCGCAGGATGGGTGGTGAAGTCATTCCTTTTACAAAAGATGAATGTTTGGAACATAACATTTCTCTTTGTGAAGGAGAGGAAGTGACACTTGCTTTAAGACCGAAGACTGGTTAGGGAAAGAGGAGAGTGTTGTGGGTAGTCTGCTCACGTTGGTTATGAGAAGGAATTTAGCTATGGGATTTATGGTGGTAACATTTACATGACAAAAAAACAAGGCAATCAGGAAAGTTTCTATTCCTGGTGTTTGTTTTTTGGTGAGGAAAACAAGACTTAAAACATGGGCCAGACCGGCCTCAAACTCCTGGGCCTGAGTGATCTGCCCACCTCAGCCTCCTAAAGTGTTGGGATTACAGACATAAGCAACTGCGCCTGGCTAAAGACCTTGCTATTGGCTACATTAAAATGCTTCCAAAGAAGGTATCAGTGGAAGGAATTGAGAGGTGGTTCATTTTCATAAGTAAAGAAACTGATTCGAAATAGTTTTGCCTCTGATTTACTTAGCTAGTTCTATAAAGGGGTCTGGCTAAGGTGTTTTGTTTTTTTTGTTTGTTCGTTTTTTGTTTTCTGTTTTTGGGAGACAGTCTCACTCTGTCGCTCAGGCTGGAGTGAAATGGTGTGATCTTGGCTCACTGCAATCTCAGTGTCCTGAGTAGCTGGAATTACAGATGTCCGCCAACACGCCTGGCTGATGTTTTTGTATTTTTAGTAGAGACAGAGTTTTGCTATGTTGTCCAGGCTGGCTCGAACTCCTGATCTCGGGTGATCCACCCGCCTTGGCCTCCCAAATCACACCTGGGATTACAGGTTTGAGCCACCACACCGAATCCTTAGCTGAGTTTCTAAAACAGATCTTTAGACACCAAAACCTGGTAGTCTTCATTCTGCATTTTAGGAGGTAGTTTGTAAGAGAACAGTAAGAGATGCTACATTAATACAAGTGGAGGATAAATATAGCTTCTGTAATGTACTGCAAAGCTTAACTATGATTGACGTTTAAAGGAAAAATTACTTGCAAATAGCTGGGAATGGCATTTGAGCTGGAACCTAATGATGGGTAAATTTTGGACAAAAGCCAGAGAGGGCATTCCAGGCAAGGAAAGTACAGATTGATCTGGCACATTGTGGGTGAGAAATGGAAATGTACATTGGAGATAAGCCATGAGTTTTAAGCTAAAGAAGTTTGGCTTTTATCCCTCAGTCTTTGGTTCTAAAACTTTGCTAAACATAAAATCAGATGGATAGATACATTTATATAATTCTCAGGCCTTTGAAGATTTGAATTTAGGTTTATAGCATAGCCTAGAAATTAGCACTATTGGTTCAGCATTATCAGGTGCTGAGCAGGTCTGCATGTGGTCTGTGCTTTCAGTAAGTTAAGGGAGTTTTTAAGTGACATCAGTTGTATGTGTCTGATACGATTACATGAGGAAGATTTGAAGACATTAGAAAACCCAGAATTTGGGGACTAGGTTATTTGACAACCAGGGTTACCAATGGGAAATGGGATGGGGGGAGGTTTAACTGGAAGCAAGAGAAGTGCTTTAACCTCTGCTGGTAACTCTGATTTGACAAATGCTAGAAAGACCTACTTTTTGCTAGGTCCTATGCAGCAATGACGGTAAAATGCACTCCTAGATGGAGGTTCAAAGTCTAGGAAATCTTTCCAGATTTGATCCTCATAATCTCCCCGTTAAACAGGTGTGGAACTATTTCGTACTTTATAGAGAAGGTAACTTGTTCCATGATGCAGCTAGTACGTGGTAGAGTGGGCCCTAAACAAGCTCTAAAATCCTTGTTCTTGGTGAGGCGTCTCTTGCTAATGTCCCTTTACCTTTTAATTTTAGTTCTTAACATATAGCCCCTTTTGTGTTGTTTTTTGCTGGGAA